ATCTTGGCTCTTTAAGTTAGATTTTAAAGAAAAGGGGAACGGAAGGCCAAATGGGAACCACACTGAAGGGGGGGGGGGGGGGCGGTCTCGAGTCTCCTTCCTCCAAGGCAGTGGTTTTCAACCTTCCTAATGCCGCGACCCTTTAATACCGTTCCTCATGTTGTGGTGACCCCCAACCATAAAATTATTTTCGCTGCTACTTCATAACTATAATTTTGCTACTGTTATGAATCGTAATGTAAATATCTGATATGCAGGATGTATTTTCATTGTTACAAATTGAACATAATTAAAGCATAGTGATTAATCACAAAAACAGTATGTAAGTATATACGTGTTTTCCGATGGTCTTAGGCGACCCCTGTGAAAGGGTTGTTTGACCCCCAAAGGGTTCTCGACCCACAGGTTGAGAACCGCTGCTCTAAGGGTATGGATACCATTGCCCTTACATGCTCTCAACTCATCTGCTTGACTGTTGCTAGCCCAGCTTTTAAAGACCCAGGCCACCCTCGCTGTGAACATCTCCTCTCCATCAGAACCAGGGAATCGCTAAAGAGAACCCCACTTTTCTCATGGAGACAAAATGAAGCACAAGCCAGGACCACCATTTTTGAGATCATCGCCTACCACTCCACCATTTATCCAACCACTTCCCATCCTACCAGGTTATCTGCCCCAGAGCCTCCAGGCCATGCCATGAGAAGATGGACAGATTAGTCATTTCCTCCTAATCGGGCTAAAACAGCTCTGTTAAACTGCAGGCAGTTCCCGTTAAAGCAGAGCAGCTGGAAAGGGGCTTAGCCCTTTAATGCCAGCAGCTGTATCTCCACAGTGTGGCTGCTCTGCTGAGGGGCTGGACTCTGTCCAGAAGCATCAAGCGTTTAGCCCCAGTCAATGTGTATTAACCTAGGAGGGGAGAGCAGCCAGCTCCCTGAGAGGAGGGGAGGTGGTTCATTTAAGAACCTCCACCCCCAGGCTTTGATTTCCAATGAGGAAGAAAAATTCCAGCCCCTTCATCTCCCTCGCTCTACTAAAATCTGGACAAACTGCATCATCTCGAAGGCAGAAGGAGCTTTCTCTGTGGCAGGAACAATCCCATTTCAAAAATTCACCTAAGGACAGATTCACTTGTTAGTTTTGACAGCATAAAGACTTTAGGCCATTAACCATACTGACTCATTCGCCTTTAAGCTGATTTTTTCCCTCTGAGGCCTTAAATATTCTTTTGATCTCAGGTATGCACACATGTGGACACAACAGACTGATAACCTCTTCTTGGAGAGCACTGGGCCCTGGGGTTGATGAGGGAGAAAGCTGAACAGCCCTCAGAAAGCCCTGGCACAGAGCAGGCTGCTGAAGAGAGATCACTCAAAGACTTCTCACTCAAAGCCAGATGGTGAACACGAGACGGGGTGAGAGCTAATGCCACTCAGGGGAAAAGCCAGTAAGCTAATCCGCTGACACGTTTCTAGAAGCAGGCTGATGGCTTTGGTTCAGAGACTTGCCTGTTCTTGGCTCTGAGCTTCAGAGCACACAAGATGCACAGGCACTCCCACCAGGAGCAACCTCACACATCCACACCAGCTCTTCCTCCTCCTTCCACACAGAATGCAGCCCTGGATCACCAAGCACAGGTCTTCCATTCTACCAGACAACAACCCTAACCATGAAGACATTCCCAGCCCTAATGCTTTCCCTGGGGTCTGGGCCTCCCTGCTCTTCCTGAGTCATCTGTTGAGAGTACATGAGCAGGTCCACATACAGAGCTGAGTGGAATCATTCATGTACCTAACTAGAGGCCTAGTGCATGAATTCGTGCACAGGTGGGATCCCTCGGGGTGGCCTGTGGGGATTGGGCTGAAACTGGCTGTCCAACACTGCCTGCTACTCCTGTCTGCTTCTCCTGCTCATCCTGGCCCCGCTGGGCCTGCCACTGGCTCATGGCCAGTCAGTCCTGATCAGGAGAGGCTCATGCTGCCATAGCAGAGCTCACCAACAGAACCCACAGGGATCAGGCCTAAACCGGCAGTCAGACATCCCCCAAGGGGTCCCAGATTGGGAGGGTGCAGGGACACCCCCCTCCTCCGTGCACGAATCTCATGCACCGGGCTTCTAGTATATAGAGAATAACAAATCCATGATGTTAAAGAGTCTGAAGTAGCAAGCACCAGAGTTGACCTCCAGAGTGGGGCTGCAATCCTCAGGGTCTAATCCCAGCCAAGCTATAGACTTGTGGGAATTTGAGCCATCACCTCTCTGAATTTGTCAATTGGGATGATATCACCAATCCTGCCCACCATACGTGGGTGTGGAGACCAAGTAGATGATAAATGAAAGCACTTTGCACACTCTAAACCGGGGGTCCTCAAACTATGGCCCACGAGCCACATGCAAATACAAATATTGTATTTGTTCCCGTTTTGTTTTTTTACTTCAAAATAAGATATGTGCAGTGTGCATAGGAATTTGTTCATAATTTTTTTTTAAACTATAGTCCGGCCCTCCAACGGTCTGAGGGACAGTGAACTGGCCCCCTGTTTAAAAAGTTTGAGGACCCCTGCTCTAAACCATCACATTACTTTCCCTAGAGGCTCTGTGGGGAATCAGTTCCCAAGCCCATCTTCACTGATGACCAGAGAAGGTATGAACTGGCAAGTGCTTGATTAGAAGTCTTAACTTTCCATTTACATGTGTCTGAGCCTAGCACACAGATGGTATCCAACTGTGTGAGATGTGAGAGTAATGCTATATAAAAATGATGCAACTAAATGCAGCCCGGCAAGAGTTATAGAGAAGGTAGACAAAAGGGAAAATTCTGCTTCCAACTCTGAGTCCCTGAAAAGTGGCCTCCTTTCCCAGCCCACATGACTGCAGAGGAGACGGCTCCCACACACTACAAGGTTATTCCTGGTGATGTCAAGCTGTCTTCCGCCTGACTTCGTGAATAAAAACCATCAACAAATACAGACTCAGAACCTGAGTCCAATAAATCATACAAGGACCTCCTGGACTAGGGCCTTCACTTATTTACAAAATATACCAGCTACAGGGAGATTTTTAAAAATTATTAAATTCTTAGGTTAAGTGGCCATTCTCCAAACCCTGTTTATACTAGAAGCATGACGACAAACATGCCCCAAACCTGCATGCTTAAAAAGCTTTTTGCATCAGTGGCTTCAACTTCAGAGTCATGACCAAGACTATCACCGATGCGCATTGATCAAGAATCTACTGTGTGAGCTGTAGCAACTTGAACACTGAACTCTGCCACCTTCACTTCTCAGATCTGGACAGCACAATGGCTCTCTCCCTGCTCATGATGAGAGTGAGAAAAGGTGATGCATGATTATGCAAACTGCTTGGTGTACCAGGCACAGCAGTGGGTCTCCCACATGCTTTCCCAATAGGAAATCACATACCGTATGCATATGCATATGTACGTGCCGGTCTATCTGAAGCTCGAGGTGGGTAGGGAGGCTCTACTGTAACAAAACACACACACAGCAAGCCTCGTAGTTGTGCTCCTTGCAATCACTCAGCACTACTTGTCATTTTGTGCTATCCAATAATTTAACTATGACTACAAGAATTCAAGACCCCTTTCAATGCCACAGGGTCAGTTTATAGCCCCCAAAATTACTATTTTTACCACATTAAATCACCTGAACACCTTATAGCCCCCTAATCAAAACCAGATGCCTTCTTGCCTTCTATTTCTGCAAGCAATGAATTCAATACCTTCTTATGGAAGAAGTCATTAAACATCCAGTAAAAATGCAAATTGTTGCTGCTGAACCAAACTGTGTAATGCCTGCCCAGTTAAATAAGTATCAAACTCAGGAGACTTACACAGATTGATAACAGAACAAATTTAAAGATTCTGGTTATTAGCAAGTGGGACAGTCAAGTTCAACTGCATTAAAGAAGGAGCAACAGAGAGCAGAAAGGGTTGGGAGCAGGAGAAAGAGGTGACGGCCACTCCAAAGCACTGAACCCTTTCCACAGATCTCACACAGGAAGAATAATTTAATTAAGAAAGCCCTTGAAAGTGGAAAGTCAAGCTGTTCCACATGAAGTGCTGTTAAAGAAGTTGAAGATGGGTACATATTTCCCTTTGCTAATATCAGAATTATTTTCATGGTTAAGGTCTCGTGGCCTAGCCCAAAACTGAGCAACTGGCTGCCAGCATCTGACACACAGGACCATTTTCTTTTTCGTTAATGGGCCATCAGTTCCTGCATAGGGAAGCCTTGCCTTACTAACATTCTACAATCCATTTACTTCCTCTGCATTAGTGACTTAAAATGCACCTTGGGGAGATACTACAGAACAGCAAATATGGAGCCAGGCCAACACTAGGCTTGCAGAGACATAAGAAAAATTTAAAAAAACAAAACCTAACAGGCATGTGTGTGCAAAGGCAAGGAAGGGGAGAAGGGACCCATCCTCTGTCAATTTGCTGAGGCAGATGGGTCCTGCTGTGAGAGCTGCCACCTCCTGGGAAAAAAGCCAGTAGGTTGCCTCCTCTCTCCGCAGTTACATATTAAGCCTGCAACTGTTTACGTTCAATCTCAGATACATTCTGTTCACCAGCTTCAGAGTTCCGAGTGCAGGTGCCCTCAGTTAATCATCCCAGCTCACTCCAGAGTCACTTCCAGCAGTGAAGGATGTTCCTCCCAGGCAGCCTGCCAGCCAGCCAGCCAGAGTTGTGGTTTTTAAAAATCTGCACCATTCTGGTCCCTAAAGACTTGTTTAAAGTTTGTTTTTTGTTTAAAGTAGTTTCTTCAAATTAGAGAGTAACAGTCAAAGGGATAAATCCAGGACTTCAATTTGGACAACAAAAGAGACAATGAGAAACAAAGAAACAAACTCCTGCTGATGGTAAAGTTTGTGTGGAAAAGGGAATGGAGATGAACAGACTCAGAACACTTAGAGGAAAAAGTATTTTCTTAAAAAAGGTGTTAAAGGTTACCTTCCAGGACAAGACAACCAAACTCATATTCACTTTGAAAAAAAACGATTTACTTTTTTCCAAATATTATTTCAAATATGTATTGTACAGACAAGGGTCAATATGTGTCATAAACATTCTATAGAAGAACGCATTTTTATAGACATTGAAAATAATTTTAATAAAAGAAAACTCATATTTATCTAGATGTAGCTATGTTACATAGGAAGATTTCAGCATCCAAAGTGCAAAGACAAAATGTGGCTTTTCTTGCCACACAAAATATTGACAATCTCCCCTGTAGCCTACTCTTAATTGTTAGTGGGATGCCAAATAGACAGCATACTGACCTCTACGGCTCCAACAGACAGGCAGGGCTCAAGAATCAGAATGAATTCACTTATAAACAAACTGGCCTCGATCCCCACCAAAGCCAAAGTCCAGCCAGAGGCCCATTAGAGATAAATACAAAAAGTGTCACTTTTACAAGGTTGTGCCACTTAGTACTATTAAACCTAACCAATTCAACTTAAAGCTAAGTATACACCCATCACTAGTTCTGTCCTCACCCTATCCCATTTTTCTGAAGGCTCCATGTTATAGCTCCAGTTCATCATGGAGAAAGAGGAACATCCAAGTTCTCAGGAGCCATCCTAAATCCTCTATCCAAATCTGTTTTCACCCTGCCCTCCCACCTCCCACTCTGAGACAAGTTAATTTTACTAAAGAGGTAGGGCTCTGTCATTGCCTCGTGGAAATAAGTTCTAAATAACACCACAGAAAGGTCATTCCACGAGCAGCATTTAGCTTTCAGCCAAAGGGATGAGGCCCTCCCCACCACAGCCCCTCCCAATCACAATGAATTTCATAATGCCCTCTACCCCTATAAAGAGCTCCCATCTGAAAGCTCCCAACGACAGCACAAGGTGTTGATGTTACATTACTTGGAGAGAAAGAGAGGAAGATATATATAGTTTTAATAAAACCCCCATGCACAATTATACTTGATTAAAAGCCTGGAGAATGCTAAAAGTAGTAACAAGTACAGGAGGCTGCAAGCAGAGAGTACAGGTGCGCCCTTCCTTTGCAGTCAGTAAATGCTGGAAGTAACAGGAGACGTGACTTCACTTGAGCATTGGAGAAGCAAAGAAGTTGCCTTGACGTCCTAGGTTTGTGGCAGACTTGCTTTTGCTTCCAAATCTGAAGAAAAAGAGAATAAGCTGGAAAAAGTATTCTATAAAAAACAGTAAATGAACAACTATAACATGATGATGTAATCAACTAAAAGTAGAAACTCCTCAAAAACTACTCTGTAGCCCTTACTGGTTTGGCTCAGTGGATAGAGCATCGGCCTGCGGACTGAAAGGTCCCAGGTTCGATTCCGGTCAAGGGCATGTACCTTGGTTGCGGGCACATCCCCAGTAGAAGGTGTGCAGGAGGCAGCTGATCAATGTTTCTCTCTCACCGATGTTTCTAACTCTTTATCCCTCTCCCTTCCTCTCTGTAAAACATCAATAAAATATATTTTTTAAAAAAACTACTCTATAAGCTACTCAGTCATCTGAGATGAGGGGGAAAACAGTAAAGGCCTTTAGACCCTTTTAAAGAGGGATCCTTATGGCTCCAGGTTTCCCTTTAAAGTCTAGTCGCTAGCTAAGATCTAATTCAATCTTTCTTTCAATTAGCTTCAGTATGTGGGAGAGAGATCTAAGCAGGCAATCCCCATACCTGGGCGTGTTCCTGGTGAGCGTGGAGCGGACTCGCTGTGACAGGGAGCTGGAGGAAGGCGTCTTGAGAAGCTGATGCTCAGGAGTGGTCACAGGTCCCAGTAAACTCACTTCAATCACAGTTAAGCATATTTTTAAAGGGGGGAGGGGGTGGAGGGAAGAGGAAAGCACCCATGTAGGTGGCCAGTTTTAAGCTGAAATCCCTGTGAAGTACTTAAGAACTAAGGCTAGAGACCGAGCAAAGCCCCAGAGATCATGTCTGTCATCATGTAACACACCAGTGTATCTTTTGAACTACGCAGGCAACTGCTCAATGAATTGCTGACATTCACTTCCTGATTTAGGCCATCCTCAAACTTCAAACTTCACAAATCTAACATATGACCACTTGATTCTTACCTATATTACAAGAAATAATATGCTCCCTTATAATGAAAGAACATGTGAGGTTGCCAGTGCCACTGAGGCTGGAATGAAACCAGCCTCCTACAAACTGGCAAAGCTTTTAAGAAATCAAATGGTAAAACATATCAAGAAACATAAGGATAAATTATATATAAATTATTATTATGTCTATATATTTTTTACTTTCCATATGGGTAAAGAACATAAAAAAGGTGAGGAAAATCAGGATAGATCTGTATAAATTCTCCTTCAATGTTAGAAATCTCAAAATGATTTTAATTTTTATTGGAGAATATGAATTTCAAATAACTCTAGCAAAGGCAGGGAGAGAGCCCATGACCAAAACTGGAGAGGTCTTTTAAAAAGCACAACTTGGGCCTTACCTTTAACATCTGGTGTCTGTGGTGTTGAAAAGGCATTTGAGTTTTCAATGACATGCATGGGGTCAATGTTCTCTTGTTCCACCATCATGAACTGACTCCAGTATTCCAGGGGCAGTGAGAGCAAGCGTTCTACCACCTAAAAGCCATCAAATACGTTAGCAAGCTTTCAAATCTCAGGGCTTATCTCTCACAGTCTCTCACATTATCATGTCACACAAGTTCATATATAAACATGATTGCCTACCTTGGGTTGACGCTTGATGTCCTGTACCATTGTCATTGGATCTGGATTGGGCACAGCGTGGGCAACTATTGTAGGGCCAAAGACTTTAGCCAGATTGGCAATATCCATTTTAGTGTTTGGGCTCTGAGCCACTCTAAGCAAAAGAACATTAAATTAGAAGACTTGCTCCTCCACTTAAACATGGACCAAAATATACAAGTTCAACAAGAAAACAATTCACCTCCCTAACACACAAGCCACATTGTCTTCCCTTGGAAAATTCCCTAACTCCCAGAAACAACTTTCTGCTGTACTTACCTCTGCAAGTGAATCATGAGGAAAGCTAATGTGTCTCTGTTGGCCTGGGGCAGCTCACCAACAGCCTGGTACATGGCAGCTATGCTGTTGTCCTCATCTGTGATTTCTGTAAATGAAAAGAAAGTACCAAGAGGCCTAAGACTGCTTTCCCTTGACAGCAGGCGTCCAAGTTATCGACCACAAAGTCTCATCTATACAGTAAGCTTCTGAAACTTCTGATTAGGTTCATGACTACATCAGACTCTAGGTTCATTAACAAGCAGGATACTGACCAACAGTTCAATATTAGAACTCAGAACTTTTAAAAAACCAGCTCTTGCAGTTAGGGAAAGCATGTGCAGAAAGGCAGACATACAACTGCTATGACTACAATTATCAAGAAGGTATTTGTTCATAAAACATGTTTATGGGCCTACTATGTGCCAGGTACTATTGGAGGAGTTAAAAAAGTAAATATCTACTAGGTAGTAACACATGTAATAAAATAAGAAAGGCAAGAAGCTAGAAAGTAACAGGAGCTATTATTTTAGAAATGCTGGTCAGGAAAGGGGTTTCTGAGGACAAGACATTCAAAAAGAAACCTAAAAGAAATAAAGAAGCGAACCATGCACATATTATTTCTGCAACTACTGTGAAGGCCAGGAGGGTTGGTATGTTCTAAGAACTGCAAGAACTCCATTGTAACTGGAGAGGAAAAAAAGAAGGGAAGGGCATAAAAGGAAATGATATTAGATACAAAACCAGGAGCCAAATCATGTAGGGTCTTTGGGACATGCTAAGGATGGATTTTATCCTGTGAATGAAGGGAAGCCATTGGAAGACACTGCAGACAGAAAGCACATAATGTAATTTAAAGAACCACTCTAGCTACTTTACCACAGAGGGTTAAGAGTAGAAACAGGAAAAACAGGAGGTGCTTACATCACTCCAGAGTGAGAGATGTTCAGAGTGGTAGTAGGACTGAAAATTTTCAAATGTAGCCTATAATTTACAAGAACTTCGCAGACAAGATTTGCCAGCTAATGGATTAAATGTGAAATGTGAGGAAAAGGAATTAAAGATGGTTCTAAGTTCAAAAGGCCAACCTAAAACTTGACCAAACAAAAACAAAAACCTGTTAGAGCCCTATACTGTTTAGACAGGAAGAGAACAGGCATGGGCAACATGACATAGTTATTTATCCACCAAAGTATTTGAATATCTGCTGTTTCAGGCACTTTACTAGATGGGGATAAAACTGCAAACAAAGAAAATGCAAACATTCCTGCCCCTTGTGGGACTCACACTCAAGTATTAAGATCTGCTCTTACCTGCTGCTCCCATAAAGGTCTTGTTCAGCCGAAAGGTCAGAAGGGGTTCTTTAAGGTTTCGAAGGAAGTCTTTCAGGAAGCTACAGATAGCATGGATGTCATCCACTTTGCTGAGGAGGGGTACAGTTTTCACTCTGAGAAATTTCTCTTTTAGTTCTTTTACTGTCCGGTCACAGCCTGAGACCCGATATAGGCCTGTCTATTATCGAGATGACACTCTCAGTTAAGAAGCTCCTGAGTGTTAACACAAGTAACAAACTCACCCTCCCCCAGGTTCATGCTTACCTCGGTCAGCCCCCTCTGTTCAATCTCATTTACGCAGTGGACAATAATGGAGGGGATCATTGGAGAAGTCTGAGACACATAATCTGCCAGTATTCCCTGAAATGGGAATGTTTTAAGTTATCGTGTTTACCACTTAGACCAGCAGATCTAGACCAGTGTGCAGAACCATCTCCCAACTAATACTCAGGCTGGGACATCATGTCTCCTTTCAATTCCTATTCCTAACGCATATATTAGAACAGAGACACTCAATTATTTTTCCTACCTCCACACCAGGACTGATTTATGGTCACAGATACCACACTCTTCATGAACAAGTAATAAAACCACTAGCTACAACTGCGTCCTTGTTTTTCTTCTACACAAGGGCATCAGAAAACAAGCAATAATGAGATTACAGGTAAGGCCTTTAATATAAACTAATTTGTTGCTTTTAAAAAAGAAAACCTTTTAAATTATTCTTAGTAAGGAAAATAAACACAACTCAATTGCTTGTGATACAACCCTACCTTTAAGGGAGAACTCCATGGTACAGAATACAGAAAATTTGTTAGAAAAAAAAAGTCTTTGCACAGATAAGAATTCTTAAAATTAGGGAAATAACATTTGATTTGCTGGGGGCTGGGTAGTAGCTTAGTCATTTTGCTTTGTTTCTTGCTAATGTTGCTTGTACAATAAATACTTTCTTAATGGATTGAATCAATTTTTAGAAATAAGCAACCTAATCTTAATAGCCTTGTATGGAATATCTCTAACGTAAGAAAGAGAAAAGATATTCACAGATGAATTTATATGTTGTCTGGGATTTGATTCAAAATAATTCATTGGACAGGGCCAGGAGGGAGAGATAGGAATATTGATAAAGCAAGACTGGACATGAATTAGTAATTGTGGAAGCTGAGTGATACAAACCAGGAATTAGTTATATTAATCTCTCTACTTTTGTATGTTTCAAATTTTACAAAATAGGATAGGATGGGGAAGGGGGGGTAAGGAAGAGGAAAGAAGATGAGAAAAGAAAGGGGAGGAAGGAAAGGATAGAATGGAAACAAGGAAGAGAGGGAGGAAGTGTGAGGAGAGAAAAAGGGAAGGAGAAAGGGGAAGGGAGGGCGAGTGGGAGGGCAGGTAAGGGAAGAGGAGTTTTGGTCTAGAAAGGTTATAAAACAGACTAAACCATACAGGACTCGACTACAAGTTAACGTTTTATAATTTGTATTCATTACTCGTGGAAAACATACTTGGCATCATTAATTATAGAACAAAACTGACATTCAGCTGTGGAAAAGCTAAGAAGCCCTAACACAATGCTTCCCATAGGCCGTACCTCTCCAATCTTAACAGGTGTCCCTATCAGGGTAGGAATGCAGGGAAGGGGACAGCGGTCCCGACATTCTGGATGAGAGACGACACGACAGTCTCGACACTTAAGAGACAGCTTGCCAAATTTTATCCGCTTCCCACATGGAACGCAAGATTCGGGTTTAATAACCTGAGGAGGATGAAATGGGGCAGAAGGAACAGAGTGGTACGAATTAGGAAATTATCAACATCATCAACCACTTTAAGCACTTAGCCTGTGCTGAACAGCTTTCTAGTCCTTTTTTACACTTATCTGTTTGTGTAATTCTCACAATAATCCTATAAAATAGGTTGTGTTTTTGTTTAAGGAAACAGATGCAAAAAGAGGCTAAGTAACTTGCATAAAGTCATCCCACTGGAAGGGAACAGTGAGTGTACAACAGTGGAAAGAATCTGTTTACAAGGAGTCAGAAAACCTCCATGTTAACTATGCCACTTACTGTCATGTAGCTCAAACAAGTCAGTTAACTCCTCTGAGCCTGTCAGTTTGCTTGGGTTTTTATGAGGAAATCATATGGGACAAAGTTAAATTGTGCTATTATTTAAAAGCATAAAACATAAATATATATCACTAAGAAGTACAAAATGCTTCTGAAAAATTGCTTTCTTCGAATTTTGTGTTCCTCCCAGAATGGAAAGCTACACACCTTTTGTAATTCAGCAGTGACCCCTGCATAGAGGGACTGGAAGGAGGAAGGAAATTCATCATTTAACTTTATAATGTTAGAGCAGCAGTCACCAACCAGTGGTCCACGGGCCACTGGTGGTCCATGAGGTCTGAAAGGTTGGCGACCACTGTGTTAGAGTACTGAAATTTGTTCCTGGTATATATTACTCTCACAATTAAAAAATTAAGGGTGCCCCCAAAAAGGAGGAGCAATCAGAGATTTACCGTCTTAGAGACAAAGTCGTGCAGACGCATCCCCCCGCTACTCTGCGGAGTGCTGGAACCGTCTGTTTCAGTTCTTGGCTCTAGCGGCCTGCTGCTCAAGGTAGAGTCACTATTCCAAGGCTGTAAAGTACCTAGAAAGCAAGCAGCTTTAACCTTAAGTATTTTGTTACTTCTGAAATTTAACCGCAATTTCAATATAATCTATAATAATAAAAGGGTAATATGCTAATTAGACCGGATGTCTTCCAGACATCATTCCGGACGTCCTTCCTGACAAAGCCGGGGCTGGATGGAAGCCAGCCTGGGTCCCGAGTGCCTGCGGGTGGCCTGAGGGAAGCCAGCCGGGGTCCCTGGTGCCTACAGGCGGCCGGAGGAGGGAAGCCAACCCGGTCCTGGGTACCTGCCGGAGGCCTGAGGAGGGAAGCCAGTGCTGGCAGTCGGGAGAAGGAAGGCCTACTCTTGCACGAATTTTCATGCATTGGGCCTCTAGTTGATAGATAACCAGTAATCTGTAACCATAATCAGAAGTGAATAGCCTTTTATTTCATTGCTGGCTGGTGTGGCTCAGCTGATTGGAGCGACATCCCATACACCAGCGGTTCTCAACCTGTGAATCGCGACCCCTTTGGCGGTCGAACAACCCTTTCACAGGGGTCGCCTAAGACCATCCTGCATATCAGATATTTACATTACAATTCATAACAGTAGCAACATTACAGTTATGAAGTAGCAACGAAAATAATTTTATGGTTGGGTCACAACATGAGGAACTGTATTTAAAGGGTCAGAAGGTTGAGAACCACTGCCATACACCAAAAGATTGTGGGTTTGATTCCCAGCAGGAGACATACCTAGGTTGCAGGTTCAATTCCCCAGTCGGGAGGCAACCTAGTGATATTTCTCTCTCACATCGATGTTTCTTTTTCTTCTTCCTCTCTCTCTCTCTCTCTCCCAACTTCCTCTCTCAAAAAAAAAACAACAGTGAGCCCTGGCTGGTGTGCTCAGTGGTTAGAGTGCTGGCCCACGAACTGAAGTACCCGGGTTGCAGGTTCCCCCATCCAGTTGGGGCACAAGCAGGAGGCAACCAATTGATGTGTCTCTCACATCAATGTTTCTCTCTCTCTCCTCTTTTCCCCTCCCAGTTGGTCCCTTTCACACTCTCTAAAAATCAATGGGAAAAATATCCTCCAGTGAGGATTAACACACAAAAAAAGAAGTGAATATAACGGACGGACACGGACACACACACACACACACACACACACACACACACACTATCAAGAATTAACAAGTTATGCACTAATGGCATAGGCCAGGGCTAACAATCTAAGGTAGAGCTTTGATACAGTGCTCTGGCCATCACCCACAACCCAGAGGACCTGTTTTCCTTCGACTTCTTGTCCAATATGGAACAGTTTCAATAGTGGATGTAGCTTCAATGGGCCCGCCATCACTGGGAACAGTCACTGTAGTTTTTGCAACTATGGATTCATTCCCCTGAAACGAAATTGTAATGAGGGAAGGACGAACATTTAAATCTAATTTCCCCTCCACTATAGGGTTTTGGAATGCTTGAAAAATTCCTGAGTCTTTGTCAGGACTTAAGGCCCAAATCACTATTAAGTCAAAATCTCATCCTTTAGGACAGAAATATAGGCCACGAGGGTATACATACAAGCAACTAAGAATCAAGCATAAAACTGACAGCTGTTTATTTAATCAGACTGATTCCATTCATATGGATAAGAATCCTATTACATAAAAATACCCTCATCAACATCTCAAAATAACACTTGCAATGTTGACTCAGAATTTTTAATGTTTGGGGCTACTAATCTTTGATGTGTTCAAGACCACAATTGTCTTGGCCTGACTATTCTTACCTGGTCTGCTGTAGAGCCAATGGAACGAGTTTTCTTTATAGGTCCCGGGGGGCCATCAACGAACTGTCGGCTATTGGAGCGCTAGAGAGGGGGCAAACACTATTAACTTTAGTGCCAAGCAGATCTGAAGCACAGAAGATAAACTTATTCCATTAGACAACTTGGATCCAAGTCCTAGGATCCAAGGCTATGGTAAATAACAAACAATGTGCTTTCTCTCACTGCCTATTTCCACATGAAGCTTAAGTTGTACCAACACAAAAATGTCTTCCCTTGAAGAAACAAGCAAGCTTTGGAAAAATTTAGATGACAGCACCAAAGTAGAGCTGTAATCCTATCTAAGGACACGAAGTCTTTGGAAACATATTAAGCACCCTAAATAAGCATGCACAGACAGATCTCTGCTTATCCCATTATACACACATTTCATCTGAAGCTTTTATTAGAGCACAAAAGTCCTGCATAAAAAGTCATATGACAACTCAAAACAAACTTAAGCATATCCTTTACCACATGATGAATGAAGTGAGAGCAGTCCAGAATAGTAACATGGGACAGGATTCTATCCTGAGTTACAACCCGCAGCAAGGATTAGAAGGTGTTTAACAATGGCTAGAGCAACATATCAGAAATGCAGTTATGTGACAGAATTTCCAAGGAAATTCTTTTATTGTTACTTTATTTAAAAAAGAAAAGAAAAACCAAAAAAAAGAAAGAGATAAGGATCAAAAGAAACTGACAAACAAAACAGATCCAGTGACATGGAAGCATGCAACAGACTGAGGACTCTCAGAGGGAAAGGGCTGGGGGGAGGGAAGAGATCAACCAAAGAACGTATTTGCATGGACACAGACAATAGTGGGGTGAAGGCCTGGGGAGGGGTCAATAGGGAAAAAAGGGGGACATCTGTAATACTTTCAACAATAAAGATAAATTTTTTTAAAAAGAAAAAACATACCCTCTTTTCTCTCTTCTTCAGTTTGAAAGTCTTTATTACAGAAGAATCCCAATCCTGTTGACAATTACACTGTATTAATTTCTTTCTTTGGTTAGGCCTCCCCTAAACCCTGTACAAATAATTTTACAGTGAACTTTAAAGGCTTCTTGAGTCAGACTCCCTTAATTTACAATTTGAGGAAATTGGGGGGGAGAACTCAAGTATTGTAGTTACAGAGCCGTAGTAAGTTAACATGTTTTCTTTCCAAAATTGAAGCTATTACAATAGAATCAGGAATCAATACCACAGAGGCAAGAAAAGGTTAAAGAATCAACTTCTGTTGTGATCATCTCCAGTGCCTGGTCCTTTGTTTCTGATTATGTTTGTAATTGGTTTTAGAACTTAGAGAATGTTAGGCACTACACACTGATTGTGTTAGATCTGATTCTTCCTCTTAAGGGACTGCTATTGTCTAATCATATGTTCTGTACAATATAGTCACTTAAAAAGTTCTAGTTTAGGTTTTACTTCTCTCAATCATCTCTTTCCTGGGCCCTAAAAGATATTCGCCACTGAAGATTTATTTGTCTTTTACTGTGGTCTAGCTTTCCTTTACTTATTTTAACCATATGTATTTTTAGTAGCTACCTGTGACTTCCTTACTCCTGACAATCCCTGAAAACACAAAATCCAGAAACAGTTGTATATAGCAAATTGTAGCTTAGCTACATAAATTTAATCTTTCCAATTCATGGTCAAATAATTTAGCTACTGCTTGTTTGATTTAGCTTCAGTTACAACAGATAACATAGCAGAGGTCTAGCTTCAAAGTCAGCAAATAGTATGTTTTAGTTTTATTATATATCCCAGACCTATTCTATATCATTCCTTATTCCAAAAAGGTAATACCAAATATTGATATCTATAAAATGGCAATTATTTCCGTAGTCCATTGGTCGGCAAACTCATTAGTCAACAGAGCCAAATATCAACAGTACGACGACTGAAATTTCTTTTGAGAGCCAAATTTTTTAAACTTAAACTATATAGGTAGGTACAGTGTTATTAACTTAATTAGGGTACTCCTAAGGCTTAGAAAGAGCCACACTCAAAGGGCCAAAGAGCCACGTGTGGCTCGCGAGCCACAGTTTGCCGACCACGGCCCTAGTCAAACACTGAATTTGGACAGAAAACTCATAGACCATGTAACAAGTACTTGTCACTTGTTTGGCTATCATCCGAAAACAAATCTCCAATAACCTCCTGATTTATTGTTTTGTTTGTTAAGCTTTCAGTCAGTAGAACAGGTTCCGGTTTTTGAACATCAAAGATTGAACTATCAGGAGATGACCTTTCATGCAGAAACACCATCAGAAGTTAAGAGAAGGGTGCTGCCCTACAAAAGCAGGGTAACAAAGTGTTTAGACATGCTAACCATTGTTGATCAAAGCATTATATAGTACCTGGAAACTCTCCAGTCTTCTAGCTGAAGTTCCAGAGCACTGGTTTTCCCTCTAATTGTGAAGTAAAACTAAGTTTCCCTTTAGAACCAAACTAATTCAGAAATAAGGCACAAATCTATTCTCCCTAAGAGCAACAAATAAGCCCTGACCAAACAGCTTTGCTAAAAAAAAATTTTTATTGCTAGGTAAGGTTTTAATAAGTCAAGATATAATCAATTAATACATGCAGCTCACAAATCCATTAAACAAATTTAACCTCATGTCAAATCCTGAATTCTATATTCCCACTTCCAGAAACAAAAAATATGTAAGCAAGTCTCTTATAGTTTGTGTGGATTTATATTTTTAAATGCTACCTCAGTACCTATAACACATCAATTAATAACACAGTAATAAAGGAATTCCAAAAAAAAAAGGAATTCCAGAAGGACAGCAGAGATATTCCTGAGGGAGCGGAAATATAAATAATACTCAGAGGGCAAATGTTCATTACCAGTGATTCATCAGTCTTGTCAAAGCTGATATCTGATAAAATGGAACCAGATTCGTCAATGGTTGACAGTCTATTGAGTGAAACAATACAAATACAAAGTTAGACAAAGAAGACTATGAAAAGTAAAATCCACCAACACCCAGAACAAGTTACCTAGCAGGTCAGATAATGTCAGCAATTTCACAGCAATCCCTTCCCTTTAAAGATAACTCCAAGCACAGACCCTAGCTGTGGTGGGTTGCTTTTTATGGTTTCATGAGGAGTGTGTGCATGCAATAACAGTTGCTTTTTCAGCAAAGGCCTTATAACTACAGCTGAAAATTACAGTTAGGGGTATGGGTTCTATTCCCTACTGAGTCTGTACTACAGGCTCCTAAAAATTTACAAGGCAGAAGAGTGAAGTTTAATTTGATCCCAATTGTGGTTGCTTTCTGCAAGAGAGAGTATTAGCCAGCCTTAGCTTTTTAAGAAATTAAGCCCATACATCTTCTTAGTTATCAAGATTCCCCATAAAACAATCAGGCAACAAAATAAATACCTCTAAGAGTGCTGACCTCTCCCTACATACCGTATTGGGGGTGTTAAATTCAAAGCCTAGTTGAGACTTTTTAAAGAGAGATGCAGTGGAACCAAAATTACTATCTGGTCTTGGCTCACAGAAGACCTTTCTAAACCAGAGGAGCTACAAGAGCTCTCTGGAGAGTAAACACTAAAAGTATTGCTGAACTGCCACTTTCACCTTTTGGTTCCTTAGCAATCTTAGGATTAGTTATTGGTGTGCAATTCAGCACCAACATCAAAATTTTACCCTTGGTGAAACAACATCTTAAGGAAAGATTTAAAAAACAAAAGAAAGAGGGAGGCCCTGTGCCTTTATTTCCCACCCACCCTTCCTCTAAGTCTTTTCTGCTTTATTCAGCACACATTCCAGAACCAGTTTATTTAAGAGTTCAGATAACAAGAACTTCTGACAGCTGTGTTGCTCGTGATCAGATAACAACAGATGCAGTTCCCCCACCTTTTGTTCCCAGCGTTGCCAATGGATGGTTGGCCTCTGTTGAGAAAAGCCAGAGCTGATTTTTGCTCCTCACTTAGTTGAATGCTGCCAGATGTGTCACACATGAGCATCTCTCGGATCAGCTGAATCTGTCTTTCCTACAGACCAAAGCAGAATAAAACATCCTAACCAACCAGGGGGGAAAGCTTCACCTCAAATTTATGGGATGGGCAGACCAGAAGACATTGAAATACAGCATTATGCAAATGAGCCTTCAGGAAAGCTGTTACACCAATAGCATATTAATTCACATCAAGTCCAGATTGTGTCTCTGATTTCTGACTGGTAAAATAAACTCCATCTAGCAAATTGGGGTTTCTGCTACAAGACTTTTGGATCAAACTGCTAATCCAAGAGGACGGAGTATTGCAAAATGAGAGTCCCAAAATAAATTTTGCATAGCACAAACACTTTATTGTCATTTTATCAGGACAATTATTGGCTTCTTACACAGATCAAAACAGCCACCCACCTTTCTAAATGGTGAAGCAAAATGTTATTAAATGAATACAAAGCTATGACACACTAGAACCAGATAATTTGAGCTCACTGAGGCATCTAACACTGTGCCAGGGTAGATTACTGCCTCCTAGTAAAGGCTTTCCTTTGTACCATGACCCACCTTGGTACACCAAAATCAAAGTGTTCTATGTTAGCCACACTGCTCAACTTGTTGAATATATCTAGCCCTTTATCTTGAATCAGGAGCAGTTGTGAAGGAAAGGCTTAGAGTTGTCTTACGTGTATCAAAGTACTAGCTACTGATATAAGGCTGAGGATATTCTGGGTGGCATGAGAGATGGCCAACTGTCTTGTGACAGACCAAGTATGCTAGGATTTCCCTGCCCTTCCCCCTAATTATAATTCTTTAAATTCTCACTTGAAATCTGTCTATTAAGTAGCAGTTTCGAGTCGAAAAATGGAAAAAAATTTAAATTTCAACCTATGGAGAACAGGATTCCTAAGCTGCAGTTTCAGTTCCAATCACAGACAAATTGTCAATGGACAGGTTGCTTTAGTTCTTTAATACGGAATAAGAAGTTGGGTATATCTGGCAAGTGGAAGCATTATCAGGCCCTGACAGTGCTCAGTTGGTCAGAGCATCATTCTGATATGCCAAGGTTGTGCATTCAATCCTGGTCAGGGCACATATTAAGAACCAACCAATGAATGCGTAAGTGGAACATCAAATCAATGCCTCTCCACCTCACCTCCACTTCTCTCTCTCTAAAATATAAATTTTTAAAAAATCAAAACATTATCAGATGCTTCCCCCTTCCCCAGTGTCACAGTACTAGCATAGAAAACAATACACACCAGCTTTTCACAGTCAGCCTCAGCTCGCTGCCTCCGTTTGATCTCGACATCCACCTGATTGCGTGCATGCTTCAGCTTAACATCCAGAGCACTACGCTCAGTCTCTGCTTTCATCAGAAGATCCTTGTATTTCCCCAGCTCTTGGTCTGTTCTCTGCCACTTTTTACGGAAATCCTCGAAGTCCTTTGCCAACTGGATGAATTCTAAAGAAAGGAGGGAAACTTTAATAATTCAAACACCAAACGCTTGAATTACAAATGCTCTTATAAATGAGTCCTCTGGTTAGTTTTACTCCAAATACATAATTAAGGGCCCCGCTAAACTATGGACAGCTGAAAACAACCAAGAACAGATTCTGAATATATGTTCATCACTCTAGATGAGAGCTTTGTGGGGAGCAATTCCTATTTCAGCAGGCCACTTACTCTGGCTTAGCCAGTGGCATCTGCTATGGAATAAGTAACTCATTAGTCACCTGGCTCCAGATGTAACACCAACACTGAAAGCTCCTGAACAGAAGGCAATCAAAGGGGGATACCTTTGGGGCAGCTGTCACGCACCAGGACAGTTACAGCTATAAAACAAAAGCAGCCTCCTTTAGAGTCACTCATTGCTGTGCCAGAGAGATGCTAAACAGCAAATTCAAATGTAACTGTTGTAGTATGCTCCAGTAGATGTAGATTAATAATACGGCTGTCTAGGCCTGCAATTCCATTCAGCTATATAATTATACAAATATTGATTTGAAAATAAAGAGCCAATTTGCTGTTTAACACTGTGCTGAAGGGTATATAAACATTCCAGTTAGAAAGATACAGGAAGAGAAGACCTACTAGATTTGGGTGGGTCACTGATAGCAGAATGCGTATTCTCTTCAAATGTCTGCAAAGACAGCACCACTTCCAAGGCAGCACCTCCAAGCATGAAAACCCTAGTGGCATTCATTCTTATCATCTCTATCGGCAAAGACTTTTTTTCCACAATGCCTTACTATTTCCAGTTAACCTCAATCTATCTATAAGCATCACTTTTCACCAGTATCAATGGAGGAAGTTTCAAAGGTGTACATCTGTTGGTCAAACTAACCCAGTTTACAGCTGAAACTAGGCCAAATTTACACAAGGAGAGCAGATTTTTAGATAGTAGGAGCACTTTTCCTATTTGAATTTAACTTAAGAGCATAGAAACAATATAGTCTCCTTTTAAAACAATTTTAATAATTTGACTAAATTTCAAACTTACAAATTAAAATTAGGCTACCAATTCAATCTATAGAAATCAAGTCTTACATATAAGGAAACTATAGTTTTTAGCCAACAAAAGATTTTAGCAAAACAAGATAGTATGACCTAGTTACCTTAGACAATGCAAATAACAAAGACCAAATATATATATGTATATATGCATGCATATATTATTATTATTATTATATATAATAATATATATTATTACAATTTAAATAGTTTTAAAAGATAGGCTGGTTTAGTTAATAGTTTGGAACATTATTAAGGGCTAATTTTCCACCTTAATTTAAAGAAAACAACAATATATCCTTTTGTAAATTTAACAATTTCAACACTATAGATTCACAAGGAAGAAAATTAAAAACGAGCCCAGCCTGTATGGCTCAAATAGTTGATCACTGACACAGGAACCAGGAGGTCACTGATTCCCAGGTCAGGGCACATGCCCGAGCTGTGTGCTCGATTCCAGGTAGGAGTGTGTGCAGGAGGCAACTGATCGATGATGTTCCTCTCTCATCAATGTTTCTATCTCTCTATCCCTCTTCCTTCCTCTCTCTCTAAAAATCAATAAAAACATATTTTAAAAAAACACACACGAAAAAACCCCAAAGCTGGTTCTTAGCCATGTTCACTCTGGTAATCATTAAGTCGTACACTTATGATTTGTGTATTTTCCTGATGTATGTAATACTTCAATTTCAAAAAATAAAGAATAAGAAACACACTTTTCAACTACACAGTCTAAAAACTTTCTACCTCCACACTGTGGTCAACTAAATGTTTCTAAATGTAGCTCTACATACACACACAAATATTTAAGAAATTGAAAAACAAATTGAGAACAAAAAGATTTCCATTTGACCTAATTGTGCTGGTTTGTTTATTCTTTGGGATATTCCTTTTTTTTCTTTCTATAATTCTTTATTGTTGAAAGTATTACATATGTCCCCCTTTTTGAGATATTTCTTAATAAGTCTTATTAAATTTAGGTTTTTAGCCCTGGCCAGTGTGGCTCTGTTGTCTGGGTGCTGGTTCAATTCTGGTCGGGACACATGCCCAGGTTGCAAGCTTGATCCCAGGTAGGAGGCGTGCGGGAGGCAGCCATGTCAGTGTTTCACTCTCAACATAGATGTTCCTTTCTCCCTCTCCCTATTGCTCTCTCTAAAAATCAATTAAAATATTTTAAAAAATAAAAATAATGAAGTGATCAACCAAAGAACTTGTATGCATATATGCATAACCCATGGACACAGACAACAGGGTGGTAAAGGCCTGGGGTGGGAGACAGAGCAGACTAGAAGGGATCAATAGGGGAAAAACAGGGGACATATGTAATATTTCCAACAATAAAGATTTAAAAAATCAATAAAAATTAATAAAATAATAAGTAATAAATTAATAAAATTTAGGTCTTAATTCTTGTTCATTGTTAACTGACATACATTACAGGTCTCATTGCAATGGAACTCCAAATAAAGTATCGATTAATTTCAAGGAAAAAGTTCCTATTTTAATAGTACAAATTATTAAATTACTACTGGTTCAACTTAGTTTGTTAGACCAAAACCATAACATGTGCATACATGACTGATTACTTTTTTTTTTTTAATCCTCCCCTGAGGACATGCTTAGAGAGAAGAAGGGGTTAGGGGGAGGGGAGGGAGAGACAGAGAGAAACATCGATGTGAGAGAAACCTCAATCAGCTGCCTTCCCTATACACCCCAAATAAGGGATCAAACCCGCAACCCAGGTATGTGCCCGACCAGGAATCGAACCAGCAACCTTTCGGTGCACAGAGCACTCAACCAACTGAGTCACTCCAGCCAGGCCAAGTTATTACTATTAAGTACAATTCTGTTATAAACTAAGTTTGTTATAAAGGGTCAAAAAGGCCCTTTAGACCACAGACCAGGAAAAATTCTGATGTTGTGAGGAGATCAACAAACATGGCCTTTTCTCCCCCAGTTTGTGAATCACAATTCGACTTCATACCAGCCTGTCATGAAGTACACATTCAAATGATTTATTAAATTCAAACTATCTCCTTAAAAAAACCAAGGACATATTAAATTCAATTAACAAAAAGGAGAAAGGAAAAGAGAAATTTCCTTAAAACAAATTGAGGATAATCTTTGATTCATTAAAAAAAAAAAATTAGGGTTTGGTTCATAATTCAGCGAACGGATTAAAGCAATTCAGAAATCTCTTCTCAGTTCACTCCTCTTGGGACCTTCGTTATTGGGCCCTTTATCTTACCTACTGTCCTCAAAGCTGCTGCTTCTTTTTAAAAATATATATATATTTTTTTTATTGATTTCAGAGAGGAAGGGAGAGGGAAAAAGAGATAGAAACATCAATGATGAGAAAGAATCAATGATTGGCTGCCTCCGGCACGCCCTCCTCCCTTACTGGGGATCGAGCCCGCAACCCGGGCATGTGCCCTTTACCGGAATTGAACCCGGGACCCTTTCAGTCCACAGGCCAATACTCTATCCACTGAGCCAAACCAATGAGGGTCCTTGAAGCTTCTTAAGGGCAATGACCCCGTGTCTCTTTTGCTCTTTTATCACTAGTGCCTAGCACTTTGCCTAACACATAGTAGGCATTTAAATATTTATTGAATGAATGAATAAATGAAGAGTTGCTGTTCAGATCAAATTTAAAGTCCAGGGATCCAAGCCCACCTTACCAACCTAATAATAAAGTAATAAATTAATAAGTAATAAATTAATAAATTAAAAACACTAAGTTTTTAGAACAACACACAACACCCTCTTTCTAACTAATCCAGTTTATCCCTGCCCTCAGAACAGACACATGCTCATTTCTTCCTTCTCACTTGTGGTCAAGCTATGCACTCCAAATGAAATGCCCTACCTATTCTTCTTTATGTACCCATTTTTCTAGTCCCATCTGCTCTTTCGTAATTTGTTTGCTCCACATGAAATTTTTCTCTACTTCCCACAAGCATATATTCTGATACTTGTATTGTCTTTGTTTCATGAGAAAGAATCCTGTCTCTGAAACTTAAATACCATAATCTTCTTGAAGATAGGTACCATATCACATACACTTCAGTATCGCCTACTGTACAGCATAGCACAAACCTAGTATAGTATTGGAATACAATAGGCACCTAATAAATACTGTTATATTTATTCCTAATTTACACACCAACAACATCAAAAAATTCAGGCAGCCCAGCTGGTGTGGCTCAGTGGTTGAGCGTCAACCTATGAACTAGGGGGTAACTGTTCGATTCCCCGTCAGAGCACATGCCCGGGTTGTGGGCTCAAACCGCAGTGTGGGGCATGCTGGAGGCAGCCAATCAGTGATTCTCTCTCATCATTGATGTTTCTCTCTCTCCTTCTCCCTTCTTCTCTGAAATCAATAAATATATATTTTTTTAAAAAAAGAATTCAGACAGTTCATAATAAAATAAAGATAAAAATCATGGTGACTGGGGAAAACAAAGATAACAAAATACCTAGGCCAGTGGTCGGCAAACTCATTAGTCAACAGAGCCAAATATCAACAGTACAACGATTGAAATTTCTTTTGAGCCAAATTTTTTAAACTTAAACTATATAAGTAGGTACACTGTTATTAACTTAATTAGGGTACTCCTAAGGCTTAGGAAGAGCCACACTCAAGGGGCCAAAGAGCCGCATGTGGCTCGCGAGCCAGTTTGTCGTCCATGGACGTAGGCCATTAAAGTAATTTTATTTGAATATTAACCTTCACTCTGATCTTTCAATAACCCTGGACTTAGCTTTAAAGAAAAAAAAAGGCTACACAAAAAGGAGAAAGAAGAATGAAGTTGTGATGAAACTCAAGAATAAAGAGTTGGGATACCTGGGCATGGGAGGAATTCCTAGTGTCAAAGAAAAGGACAGAGACTAGGGTGGTTGCAGAAGAGATTCTAGAGTCTAGAAAACACTGAGCCACTTTAGTTCCTCAAGAGCCAACATTCCAAGTTAGGGATTTAAAAGGGAGACAAAACATACCTCTATTTTATAACAGAAATCAATGGGAAGGTATAAATTTGCTTATAAAATAAGGGTATCTGTAAAAATAAATACCTTGTATATTCTTGGTATAACTACTTCCAAAGTATTTTCACAACTAGTATCTCATTTTATCCCCAATCTTCACAGAACTCCCACAAAAACAGACATTTAAATTCATATCTTACAGATAGAGAGACAAAGAAATAACTATTAAAAGTCAGCATAGTTATTGAGACTTCAAACCTCAGATTCCTCTCTCTGACCCCACATCTACCAGCTGCCTCCTCCTAGAGATCTTATTCTCACAATCTCTTCTACCCATTCCCCCTTATTTCCATCTTCACACCATCCCAGTTAGGACTCCAGTTGCCTTTCCTGAGCAATGGCAACCATGTCTTATCATTCTCCCAGCCTCCACCTCTGCCAGGGTAATCTCCCAAAAGTACAGCTCTGAGTATGTCACTGCCCCTTACTCCTATTCCCCCCAACCCCACACCCTCTTGCCTCCATTCAGGCTGTTCCCCTGACCCTAAATGCCCTATTTCATCTCTGCCTGTTGGGATCCTACCCTACATCTAAGGCTCAACTCAAACCCTACTTTTCTTCATTAAGCCATTTAGTCACCCCTTTCCCTCAACTCAACATGTGCTAGAGGTTGTGATAGGTTCTCATTAAATATTTGCTGAATGAATCTGAATTTTAAGATCTATTCAATACTCCTCCCCACTAGACTCCAAAGTTATCCATCTTCTGAGATGATGTGATCTCAAAAAGAAGCCTAATTAGTATGCCATCATGGTTACTGAGCTGGTACCA